TGAATTAAGTTAGCTCGTCAAAATGTCAGATGAATGAAAAAAAACAGGTCTGTTTTTCACACCATCAGACCTATTTCATCTGATATTTGAGACCCTGGCAGCACTGCTTGGTGCACGGGAGCTTATGTCAGCAGGGGTGGAAGGGGCAACACATTTCCCACTCCCTGCATGCCTCCATCCGTCCTCACCATCCCCATCATGTTGCTCACCATATCTTCAGTCGCCACCCCGCTCCTCACCATCCCGATCAGAGTCTCAAACGTTTGCACCATGTGCCGCGGAGACCCCATCCTTGCACTAGTCCTCGCTTCCCCCCCTTCCTTTCCCCCTCTTCCCTAACCCCTCGTGGTACCAGATTTTGCACAAAGAAACTAAACCCCTCCTTGAGGTCAGCACTCTCCTTCACCTTGAGGATCTGCACCAAGAGGGAAGCAAATTGGTCCTCCTCCTCCAGCCTCCTCGGCCCCAGCGCAGCCACAACCGGACTTGGACTCGGACTTGAACTCGGACTCTGCTTCACTGCTTCTCTGCTGCTCAGCTGCTTCTGCTTCACTGCTACTGCTGCTGGGCCCCCAAGGTTCTTCAGGTTTGTTTTTGAGTTGTGCTAGAGTATCATAGTAGTTCCGCCATGCTTAGGTTCTTTGGCTGTGTTTGTTGGCTAGGAATCAAGAGCTGTTATAACTGCAGTGGCTGTACGAGATCCCGTTCGAACTGCAGTTGCACAGAAGTCTACTTCAAAATTTTTATGATCAGTTTCTTCAGGATGTTGCCAAGGTCCAAGAGATCTAGGATAACACTCTCTTGGAATCTCCCAAAGTTCTTTGTGCTTCAAATTGAAGAACGGAGACGCCATATTGAGTGGCAGCTCTCCCGATGTAAGTATTGGTATCGTTGTGATAAATTTCCTGGTCCATAGTTTCACAATTGCCTTGTGTCCTGATCTTATGTCGCAGGAGTTGAGCCATTGAAAGAAGATTGAAACCAAGTCCAGCGATGATGAGGACGTTCATAACGTGAAAGGAAAAACCAGTGTCAATAGAATCCAACATGACGCTGCTGATGGATCGTGCCATAATTGTTTGTCTATTTGCAACTACAACAGGTACTGGACGGCGAAGAGGACGCTGATGAGTGATGAAAAGCATCTCGGTAGAGCACGTGTGTTGACCACAACAACTAACTAGATACCAAGTGTTGGGTCCTGCAATAATCAGAGCGAGATTAGCATAAACCTCAGGTAAGACCATGTTCTCAGGTTGTTCAATGGAACTCTTTTCCTCATCATCGTCAAAATCAGAATCGGATGCATAAACTGTAGTAACACAACTGAAAACTTGTTTTCCGGATATGGCAGAAGTTGTTATTGGTGGATTCTGCTTCACGGGTTGCTTGGACTGCTGCGACGGCTGCTGCGCTCCTTTTTTCTTATCAGCTTGAATCTTGTTGCAATATTTGATGATGTGTCCATCCTTTTTGCTGTAGTGACAGAAAAACTTGTTGATGCGTTTTGCAGGCGTTAAATAGAAACTGACATTAACTACTCCCTTTTTGTTACATGCTGTTTGCGTATCAAGGTCTTGCTGCTCTGCTTGAAGAATCGAACAAATTTCGGCTTCAGAAAGATTTGGTTGAATGCGAAGAAAGAGATCGAAACTGCCGCCATTCTGCTCCAAGGCCGGCAAGAAGAACTGTTACAAACATGTCCTTTAGGAAGTATCCGCCGCATTTTCCCAGTTGGTCGCGAAGTGTGCGAGCCGTATTGATATAATCCGAAACGTTCTCGTTGCCCTGCATCTGTACAGTTGTCAGTTGTGAGAGAATCTTACTCACGGAAATGGTGTCTGGTGCCATATACAACCCTTTCAAATGCTTCCTTGCAGATCGGCTGGAGTCAAGCTGGTGTGAAGGGAGCGTATCCCAAGTTGCTCTTTCAGTGACATGTTTCGAATAAGAACTGTATAAGTGCTGAGTGAAGCATGAAGAAAAGTTTTATGCTCCATCAGTGTTCCCGTAACATGATACGAATAATTGCCACTAAAGGAGGGCCACAATAAAGTGGAATTTGCAAGGAGCTCGAACTCGAAACTCCAGGAGTAGAAGTCAACGCCATTAAAATGTATTGTTGTCTTGATCTGCGTATTACTTAAAAGATTTGGAGCCTGAAAGATAGGTCTAGTAAAAGAAATTTGCTGCTGCGAAAACTGTTTTTGCTGTTGTTGCTGCTGTTGCGGTAATTGCTGTTGTTGCTGAAATTGTTGTTGCACTTGTTGCTGCTGTTGCAGAAACTGGAACTGTTGGTGTTGAGCAGGTGTAAACACAAATGAAGAACTGGAGCTTGGAGCGGCTGTAGCTCTTGCATGACTGGAACCATCAAGACTCATGCCACTAAAAGCCGCTGTTACTGATGCTGTTGCTTGTTGCGATGGTGCTTGTTGCTATGTTGTAGGTGCAGAGGACGAAGTCCCTGGTGGATGCAAATTAGGCAACCCTTGATGCTGTTAAGGCATCCCAATTGAAGCATATGCAGGTGGAAAATTTCCAGCTGCTCATGCTTGGCCTGTAAAAACTATTGGATTTGTAACACCCGTGGGCCCAGTTGTTGAGGAACAGCTGTTGGAGCTGATGATAGTCCAGTCATTTGTAGAGTTGACGATATTCTTAATTTCAGATAGCTCTCATACCATGTAAATTTTATAAAAAGGGTGCAGAAGACTAAGTAAAAATCTGCAGACATAAGTACTTGAAGTAGAAAATAATACTGGAAGTACCTCCAATAACAGCTAGTATTAACTAATTGTAACACCAAAATCAGTGTTAGACCCTAAACCCTAAGACTTGAGCAAGGATCTTTGTTGGAATGGTAGACTAGTAAGACAACGGAAGTCATAGAACTTGTAAGTGTTGACCTGAATTTACTGAAGAACTAGTTGATAATTGAAGTCATACAAGCAGGGCCTCAGATTCGTTTTGGGGCACGCTGATCGCTCAGGCCCCCCCCCTCGTAGCTCCCTGTTTCTTCAAGCCTCGAAAAAAAAAAAAAAAAAAACGCTGATCAATTAGGGTGTTATATAAATTTTGCGCTGAATAAACAGGGTCAACTACAGAAAACACGCTGTTTAAAACCCTACGGCAAAATAGCAGAGGGGGGTCCCTCTTGATTGTTCAGTGGGTGCGATAAAACGAAGTCCCGAAACCTGGCGAAAAAACGAAACGTCCCAGTGCCCTGAAATTTGTAACTATCCGAAAACAAAATAGGGTTGCACAAATCCTATTGGTTGCGCGAGTGTTTTAGCCAATGTGGGCTCGAGGCGAAAAACTATTGACAGCCTGGCGCGTCGTGCAGCCCCCCTGTGATGTTTTTCGCAGGCCACGTGGGCCTCGGCTTTTTCTGCAGGGGGGTTCAAGAGGGACCCCCCTCCGCTATTCCTGTTTTTCGTGCATTCCCTGGGCGAAAATCAAGTGGGGCCCCACTTGAGGACCAAGTGGGGCCCGTTTTTACGTGGCAAAATCGCGTACCACGTCGTGCAGCCCACAATCGCGTGCCACGTCGTGCGCTGTTCGCGCCACTGCCCACTACCCCCAAATTGCCGACTTTTTACTCCGATTCAGACTTTTTTCAGAGTTTTTTTAGGGGTGTACTCTGATTGCAAAGACTTTTTTTCGTACCTTACTCTGATTTTTCAGAGAACCTTTTTGTACCTACGCTGATTTTTCAGACTTTTTATACTAGTGTACTCTGATGCCTCAACCCTATATGGAAGGTTGACTCTGATTCTGTGTAATACCGAGATTCGGGGGGAGCGTGATTAGCGCTGCTACCCCTGTGGAGGGCGCTGACTGGCCCTTAGCCATAATCAGGGCGTGATGCTTGCTGGGGGCTTTGTAAGGGCGCGTACTGTCCCTTCACCAAAATCAAAGGTCAATGTGTAGTGGGGGCTGTGTGAGGGAGCAGACTGGCCCTTCACGAAAATCGAAGGCCAATGCGTACTGGGGGCTGTGTGAGGGAGCTGAATGGCCCTTGGCCAAAATCTTTGTGCTGGAGGCGGTGTGAGGGGTCGATTGGCCCTTCAGAAAAATCGCCGATGTCTGCCGCGGGCTGTGTCTGCGAGGGCGCCCATTGGCCCTTCACGAGGTTGCCACGTGGATGGCACCGATTTCCCTCCCTCCCCTCCCTGCAATTTCGATACGCCCCGCCCGAATTCCTATCCGCCCCATCCCTGAAAGTTTACGTGTACCACCACGTCGGCCCTATAAATTCAATTATATTGGGCCTACATCGTGCACTGTGAACATGTATTTGCGCATCATCTCGCATAAAATTTGCCGACGTTAGGAAAAAAAAAATCCATGAAATTTCACTCTGAACACACTCGGAGAGGCAACTGCGACGGTCGCCGTTGATGTTGGAGTCTCCGACCGGCTTTTCAAGGCCCTAGGCCGCTGGCGAAGTGATACAGCCAAGGAGCTTTACATTACTCAGCTTGACCGCGAGCTAGTGGCTGCTTCTCGCACGCTACAAGATCCTACTCGCTCAAGCGCGACCGATCGGTACCAGGCCACCCTCGAGCGCCACCGCCGACGACCTCCCAATTGATGTCTCGTTTGACCTATGACGACTGCATTGCACACTCCTCTGAGGCCGTGTCACAATATGAGATTTTTTTTGTAATAAAAAAATTACAGATTGTGATTCGACTAGAAGAGGAGTTTGCTGTAAATGAGACAAACTCCTCCATCTATCGGCAGGTCTTTCAGACCTGCCACCTAGTCTCATTTGCATTTTTCTGTTCCAACTTGCCCACCCTTCCCTCCCATGCTTTGATAACTAGCATGGCATGCTCACCCTTGTTCCCTTGCCATGTATTCGCCCTATCTAGTGTGCTGTATTATGGAGCTATGATATGCTATGACGACTGTGTCAAGATTATATAAGTTATATATAATTGATAGGCTTGATAGTTGTGTTACTGAGCCTTTCTGTAGAGGGTACAATCCCCTCCTTGTACCCCTCTCTCTTCCTAGTCCAACTCTCTTCTTTCTCGTCACTTTTGCCTACTCCTAGATCTACTTGCCTCACGCCATTCCATGGCGTCCTTCCTTCCTTCCTAGCTAAGCTAGGTTCCTAAGTTTAGTTAGTGTCCTAAGCTTCTTTGAGATGGTATCAGAGCAGGAGATCCTCCTTGTTGGACTGCCTCCTCACGCTTCCGCCATTTACTCCTCACCCTCATTCGCTCGAGCGGCCATGGCGGCCGCGTTTTGCTGCAGTGGCGACGTCGCGCTGCCACTGGCCGCGTCGTGCCGCGACCGGCTCGACGCGCTGCAGTGGAGTCGGGCCGTCGTTCTGCAGTCGCAGCGTCGACGTCCCGCTGCGGCATCGACGCTGCCTCTGCCGTCGTGACGTCGACGTCCTGCTGCAGCGTCGACGTCGCTCTGTGACGGCGCCGTCGGGCCGCAGCCGGTTACGCGACGCCTGTGACGCCGCCACCGCCCGCACGCCATCACGCCCACGACCTGTCGCGCCACACCGGGGGCTGCTGTTGCCCTGCCCCCGTCCTCTGCATCCCCTTGTCCTTGCCACAGCCAACGACTGCCTCATGAGGGCTCTCCCCCACCGCCGAGGAGACTGGCCATGCCGCCGAGAGGGTGGGGGCCGCTGCAGTAGCCTCTGACGTTCTAGCCGTTGCAGTAGCCTCTGACGTTCTAGCCGCCGCCGCCGCCGCTGGTGCAGCTGGCCTGTTGCCGCCGCACGCCGCCGCCGCCGCGCTGTCGTCACCGTCGCCGCTGCCACCATTGCCGTCCCACGGGCCGTGAGAGCTGCCCACGTCCGGAGTCGTAGCGGCTCTTGCTGGGAATGGGGTGCTCGGTTAGGGGGTGTGTGTGTGTGTGTGTATGGTGTGGGTGTGTGTGGGCTTTCTACTACCAAGCCTAGGGGGTGTGTAAAGATTATATAAGTTATATATAATTGATAGTCTTGATAGTTGTGTTACTGAACCTTTCTGTAGAGGGTACAATCCCCTCCTTGTACCCCTCTCTCTTCCTAGTCCAACTCTCTTCTTTCTCGTCACTTTTGCCTACTCCTAGATCTACTTGCCTCACGCCATTCCATGGCGTCCTTCCTTCCTTCCTAGCTAAGCTAGGTTCCTAAGTTTAGTTAGTGTCCTAAGCTTCTTTGAGAGACTGCACTGCCTATGACGACTGCACTGCACACTCCTCTGAGGTTGTGTCACAATTTGACAGTGGGTCACATCACATCCAAATCCTGCCTCACGGCAGGAGAGCTCCAGCTGTGGGCAACAAGCGTCTGAGACATCCTTCCCTCACAAGCAGAGTACGGAGAATGACGTGAAACCTGAAATCAGACCTGTCTAACATGGCAACTGAAATCAGACACGTCTAACATGGCAACTGAAATTAGACACGTCTAACATGGCAACTGAAATCAGACACGTCTAACATGGCAACTGAAATCAGACACGTCTAACATGGCAACTGAAATCAGACACGTCTAACATAGCAACTGAAATCAGACACGTCTAACATGGCAACTGAAATCAGACCTGTCCACACCAGAGCAAGGAGTGGGAGAGGGGGTGAGGTTGAAGGCGAGAAGGTAGTGAGAATAGGTAGCTGAAGGAGAACGTGTAGGTGTAGGGAGTGCCGATCACAACATGCATTAAACACAAGGCCATAGCTAACATATGGTGACCCCAACAGCTGGCATATGGGATTAAGCTCCCAGCAGTGAGAGGAAAGAATATTTCAACAGCAGGTTCACGAGCAAGTACACCAGCAGCACGCACAAGAGCCATGCCCCAGCAGCACGCACAAGAGCCATGCCCCAGCAGCCAAGCACAAGAGCCATATCCCAGCAGCAAGCACAAGAGCCATATCCCAGCAGCAAGCACAAGAGCCATGCCCCAGCAGCAAGCACAAGAGCCATATCCCAGCAGCAAGCACAAGAGCCATGTCCCAGCAGCAAGCACAAGAGCCATATCCCAGCAACAAACACAAGAGCCATGTCCCAGCAGCAAGCACAAGAGCCATATCCCAGCAGCAAGCACAAGAGCCATGCCCCAGCAGCAAGCACAAGAGCCATATCCCAGCAGCAAGCACAAGAGCCATGTCCCAGCAGCAAGCACAAGAGCCATGTCCCAGCAGCAAGCACAAGAGCCATATCCCAGCAGCAAGCACAAGAGCCATGCCCCAGCAGCAAGCACAAGAGCCATGTCCCAACAGCAAGCACGAGAGCCATATCCCAGCAGCAAGTACGAGGGCCATATCCCCACAGCAAGCACAAGAGCCATGTCCCAGCAGCAAGCACAAGAGCCATATCCCAGCAGCAAGCACAAGAGCCATGTCCCAGCAGCAAGCACAAGAGCCATGTCCCAGCAGCAAGCACAAGAGCCATATCTTAACAGCAAGCACAAGAGCCATGTCCCAACAGCAAGCACAAGAGCCATGTCCCAAGCAGCAAGCACAAGAGCCATGTTCCAGCAGAAAGCACAAGAGCCATGTTCCAGCAGAAAGCACAAGAGCCATATCCCAACAGCAAGCACAAAGCCATATCCCAACAGCAAGCACAAGAACCGTATCTCAACAGCAAGCACAAGAGCCATATCCCAGCAGCAAGCACAAGAGCCATATCCCAACAGCAAGCACGAGAGCCATAACCCAACAGCAAGCACAAGAGCCATGTCCCAACAGCAAGCACAAGAGCCATGTCCCAAGCAGCAAGCACAAGAGCCATGTTCCAGCAGAAAGCACAAGAGCCATATCCCAACAGCAAGCACAAAGCCATATCCCAACAGCAAGCACATGAACCGTATCCCAACAGCAAGCACAAGAGCCATATCCCAACAGCGAACACAAGAGCCATATCCCAGCAGCAAGCACAAGAGCCATATCCCAACAGCAAGCACACGAGCCATATCCCAACAGCAAGCACAAGAGCCATATCTCAACAGCAAGCACAAGAGCCATGTCCCAACAGCAAGCACAAGAGCCATGTCCCAAGCAGCGAACACAAGAGCCATATCCCAGCAGCAAGCACAAGAGCCATATCCCAGCAGCAAGCACAAGAGCCATATCCCAGCAGCAAGCACAATAGCCATGTCCCAGCAGCAAGCACAAGAGCCATATCCCAACAGTAAGCACAAGAGCCATATGCCAACAGCAAGCACAAGAGCCATATCCCAGCAGCAAGTACAAGAGCCATATCCCAGCAGTGAACACAAGAGCCATGTCCCAAGCAGCAAGCACAAGAGCCATGTCCCAACAGCAAGCACAAGAGCCATATCCCAACATTAAGCACAAGAGCCATATGCCAACAGCAAGCACAAGAGCCATATCCCAGCAGCAAGTACAAGAGCCATATCCCAGCAGCGAACACAAGAGCCATGTCCCAGCAGCAAGCACAAGAGCCATGTCCCAACAGCAAACACAAGAGCCATATCCCAACAGCAAGCCACTGGTGCTGCCACTCACCTTGCCACTCACCTTGCCACTCACCTTGCCACTCACCTTGCCACGCACCTTGCCACTCACCTTGCCACTCACCTTGCCACTCACCTTGGCACTCACCTTGGCACTCACCTTGCCACTGGTGCTGCCACTCACCTTGCCACTGGTGCTGCCACTCACCTTGCCACTGGTGCTGCCACTCACCTTGCCACTGGTGCTGCCACTCACCTTGCCACTGGTGCTGCCACTCCTCTTCCCACCGGTCCTGCCTGGGCATGCGAGCTTGTGGAAGGGCCAGTGCGCATTTTGGCAGTCTCTGCTGCAATACACCACCTTCCCACACCCAGAGCAGCTCCTCAGCTTCACACTGCCACCCTCCGTCCTCCCACACGCCGGACTAGTGCACACATGCCGCCTACCAGGCGCAGGACCTGAGCCTTCAACATTTGAAGTGAAATCTGCTTTTCAAATGGCTGCTGAAATAGTGGTGCTTGGTGCAGCAACGGCGATTGGAGCATCCCAAGTGGTTGCTGAATTTGCAGTGTCTCTTGATGCAGAAGTTAAAGATGCAGCAGCGGTGCTTACAGCAGCAGGGGTGGAAGAGGCAGCACAGGAGGGAGGGCGGTAGCATGGCTGCCCCAGCAGCATCTCTCGCAGACATGCCACCAGGTTGACTCCCCCCGGCCATGGCTTCAGATAAGCCGGCACGTCCGCCTTCTTGCCCTTCCGCTTGCTGCGACTTCCCCATGGACTGGCAGACCCACCCTCGCGCTCCATGTCTTCACAAAACCTCGGGAATGCAGACCACCTACACATCTCGATAACTTCTTCCTCGTTCGCAAGCGTACCAATCTCCCTGGACCGGCTGCCCCTGCAGGCTTCCAGGGACGCCTGCACTCCCATAGCAGGTGGCATCATTGCCACCATGAACCATGACTGCACGTCCTCCCACACATCCCCGCAATCCCCTTCACCATCCCCTCCATCCCCACTGTCCCCACTCCCCGCCCTCCTCCCACGAGCCCTCTCTTTCGGCCCAGAGCTTCTCCCACCAGCTCTAGGGCTGTGCTGCCCCTCAGTCGCACCCTGCAGGAGGGGCTTGGGGCAGTTCATGGCAAGGCTGAGCAGGAAGGAAATCGGCACCTGCTCCACCCGCTCCCGCACCGCATGCACGCTGCAATGCGGGGCGTCCAGCCCCAGACGGTTGAGAAGCCTCTTGAACTCATCGGAGTGGGGCGGGAAGACGGAGAGGAAGCGGTTGAGGAGGACGGTGGCGGGGCGATAGGCATAGTTGGCAATGAGAGTGATGAAGGGGAGGTGGGAGATGAAAATGGTGACGCACTTGCTGCATGCGCCGCATGCCGGTGGCTTGATAAGGACACACGCAAACTCGACTAAGAAATCCGCGTCCGCCTTGCAGCGAACCACGGGGCGGAACTCGTTTGGAGGCAACCGCGCACCTCTAGTGAAAGCTTTCTTGAAGCGCCCCTGCCCTCCCACATGCCCTCTGTTCGTGCCACCTTGCCTCTCATCCGTCCTGCCCAGCCCAAAAAATCTGGCCCTCGCATCATCAGGAAGCTTCACCGCAGCTTCATCGCCTTCAGGCCACTCCTCCCACTCCAAGGAATGGCTGCTTCCTTCCACAGGCTTGGGGATGGCACCGAACCTGAGCAGCAGGCTCGGAAGGTCCCGAAGTGGGTGGCGCATCGGCAGGACCTTGCCCTGTGGGCTGTCCTTGAAGCAGTTCTTCGCCGAGATGAAATCAGAGCCGTAGATTCGGACCCACTGCAAGATGCAAGCAACTCGAAACGTCAGCATTGCAACAACGGGGTCTGTGTTGACGGGCACAAGTCCGGATCTGAGAGCCACACTGTTGCTGGCTACACCGCTGCTGCAAACAGAAGAGCCGTTGGGAGAGGCAGCAGCAGTGGGAGCTGGGGGCACCGTTGCTGATGCAGCAGACACTGCTGCGTCAAACCCTCCTCCTGTTCCTCCTCCCTCATCCACCCCGCTCCTCAGCCCTGCATTTCCCAGTCTCTCCCCTCTCAGCCCTGCATTTCCCAGTCTCTCCCCTCTCGGCCTCTTCCTGGCCTCCTCAATGGCAGCATCCTCCATGCTGGTCGAGATCTTTGCACCTGTGAAGAACATGGCTCCTACCTTACAGTGCTTTGGCCTCGAGGCCACTGTAAACTGTAGCCACTGCAAGGGCGAAATCAGGGGCACCCACGCCACTCACAAACATGCCCTTGGGAACGACTTTGCCTTCCATTCTGCTGCTGCCGCCGCTGCCACTACTGCTGTTGTCGCTGCAGCCGCTGCCACTGCTGCCGCTGCTGCCACTGCCACTGCTGCCGTTGCTGCAGGCGTTGCTCCTGCTGCTGCTGCTGCTGCTGCTGCTGCTGCCGCCGGCCGCACTGCAGTGGCTGCACCTGAACTCCCTCCCTTCCCCCCCTCCATGCTCCAGAATCCAAGCCATGCCATCCACATACCTCTCCCACACAGGCCCCTTCAGATTCTCCCTCCACTCCCCTCCCTTACCCTTCCCACCACCACCACCACCCCCTTTCAACCGCCCCTGGCTATTCTCCCCTGCCCCTCCTCTCCCCCCACCATCCTCCGCGCCAGAAAGCAGACCCATGAGCCTTGTGACGGCAGCTTCACCCCCAAGCATCTCTGCTGGGTCCAATCCTGAGCCTGCCACCGCCCGCCGCCAATCCTCTGCCCCCATACCCGCCCCACTCCCACTGTCCTCATCATAGCCGCCATAGCCTGCTCCATCCCACTCTGCCCCATCCCCATCAGCCCCATCCCCGTCCCCATCTGCCCCATCCCCGTCCCCATCTGCCCCATCCCCGTCCCCATCTGCCCCATCAGCCCCATCTGCCCCATCTGCCCCATCTGCCCCACATTACTCTCCCCCGCACCCTTCTTCCCTGTTCTCTCCCCTCTGCATGGGCCTTCTCAAGGCCGCCTGACAGCAGATTCTGCACAAAGAACCCAAACCCTTCCTTCAGTTCAGCAGCTCCCTTCACCCCGAGCAAGGACGCAAAGCAGTCTTCCCTCTCCTGCCTGCCCGCCCCCAGCTCGGCCACTAGGGCAGGATAGGCCAGATCGAATGTATCCGCGTGAGCCTTCCATAGTGTGTCAATGCGGGGGCACCTTGCTACAAGCACGAAAAAGGCCGTGAAGCTGACAACACGGCGGTAGGCAGCCCAGCAGCTGCTGCAGCGCCAGCAGCAGGACCACGCTGCAGAAGCAGCAGCAGCAGCAGCAGCTGGAGCAGAGGCAGCAGCGACAGCAGGGGAACCTTCAGCAGGACCTCCAGCGGGCAGGAATGCAGGCAGGCGGGCTCGGATCCTCCCCAGGTCCATGAGCACGCCCACACGAGGCTCGGCCATCCACTCAAGAAGCATTGCCTCGGCACACACGTAAGGTGCAAGAGTGCACTTGCAGGAGAACTGCACGTGAGGCGCCTTCTCCCCCTGCTTCCCAAATGCTTGGACTCTCGAGGAATACTCCAAAACACCCGTGGGTACTCTGGTCGAGAGTGCAAGGGGGATAGAACCAGGCTGCTGCTTGTGAAGGTTCAATCGAAAGAGCTCTAGGCTCGCCATGTTCAAAGCACGCTCGGCACGGAATCCCACTGCGCGGTCGAAGCAGCACTCGCACTCAGCCAAATCCCAGCCGACCCTCACGTCCAAGTAGTGAACCATGTCCGCCCGATGCATCAGCTGAAGCTTCCCGGAAATTTCCTGAGCTCCCAATCTCCCTGACCCCCCTGCCTTGCGCGCATTTTCCGCTCCACGCGCCTCCTCCTGAAAATCCCATCTTCTCACCAAATTCTCATGGTCGTTCCAAATCACCTCCTTAAATTCGGAAAGGCCAGCACCACAGGTCCCTGCAAGCATCTGGGCCTTTCCCCTTCCGTCAGCACTTTCTCTTGCGGCTCTGTTCCTCTTGGTGCGCTCCTTCTCCTCCTCCTCCTCCTCCTCGTCGCTGCTGGACCCGATGTGGTCCCATTTGCTGTAGTCGATTACTCGCCTGGTGGCAGCAGCAGCAGCAGGAGGAGCAGCAGCAGGAGCAGGGGCAGCAGCTTGAGCAGCAGGAGGGGGGGAATCAGCCGCAGCAGGAGCCACAGGAGCAGCAGGTGCAGCAGCAGGTGCTGGAGCAGCAGCAGTAGCTGGAGAATCTGCAGCGGGTGCAGAACCAACAGGAGGCACGCTTGCAAAAAGTGCAGCAGCAGCGGCAGGAGCAGCAGCAGCAGGTGAAGCAGCAGCAGATGCAGCCGCTGGGGGAGCAGCAATAGGAGGAGTCGCTGCAGCAGCAACAGGAGGGACGTTCGCATCAGGTGCAGCAGGAGGTCCATTCACGCTCCGTTCCGCCTTGTCCTTGCCCTTATCCAAGCCGTGTCCATGCACCGTCTTCACAGGAAGCACTTTGATTGTCGAGCCCGCTTTAAGCTTGCCTTGGTGGACGGTTGAGTCAGGAGAGAGGTACACCACCTGACCGAGAACCATGAAACGGACCGCCGCCGCCTGTGTCCCTCCCACCGCTTTTCCGCCATCTTCTGGTCCCAACTGTTGACCTGCGCCGTACTGCAGGCAGCAGTTTGGCAGGTGGGACTTGGAAAGCCTGTTGAAGACGGATCGGAGGGACTCCGTTGGAGAGACAGCGAGGTGAACGTCCACGTGGGATGCTCCAGATGGCCCATCCGACCCTAAACTGGGTTTACCGCCAGAACGGCTGCCACTGAAACGCAAATCGCTGCTATGGTCGTCGGATCTGCGTTGAACTAAATCACGCGGAATCCTGAATCGAACCTCGAAAGCCATGGCGTCCGCAGCTGCAGGCAATTCTACGCGATTATGCTTTTGAGTCGACCGAACGCAGCTGCCTGCAGGTTCTGCGCAATTATGCTAGTTAGTCTCACTGGTTTCAGGTTTGCTGTTCCCGCCGCTAAATCTAGAGGCCTGCAACTTTCTAAGATATGTAGTAACTCCATACTTGCTGCGTTTACTGCTAACGAATTTGCTCGCAGTATCGCTACTTGAAACGGGAATCATTGCGACTCGTGAGCCTGGCTAATTACTCAGTTGTTGTCAGAGGGATGTTGAAGTAGGATTTGCCACCGCCCATTTCCACTCACCGTTCGTTACAATTCCAGTTCGTTTTAAAAAGGTTGAAAATGAACCTAGAATTTGGAGCCTAGGCTTATGAGCACGCAGTCGCAAACGTGTCGAAGACTCGTGTGACACGTGTGGAGTTCATTTGATGTTCGCTTAAGCCAAACCACTGTGTTACCTTGTGGTAACTCAAAAGCTAAGTAGCGAACGGGTTTTTCTAAACGACTGCTAGTTAGAACCATGCCTACAGCCACACATCCGCATTCCACGCAGGCCCGTTTATCAACATCACGAGCAAGAAACCTGAGCTGGAATGCAACCACTCCGAGCTAGTGTCCGAGCCAGCCGCTGAAGCGGAACGTGTCAGCAATAGCGGAGGTAGCAGCTATTATTGTGAACGGATCGTGAAACCGAGTTTCGAGTTTTTTTTTTCTAGAAGGAAGTCACAAATACGAGTCGTCTTATCGTTGGCTCTGCCAGAGTCTCATTGCGACTCTTCGTGCGACTCGCAGTGCGATTCCCACTTGTACCCGCTGGTAACCAGCGTGCGAACATGACTCGCGACGCCGCTTTGCGGCGGTGCGAGGGCCTTCGAAAAGTCGCAACGGCCGAAGGGTGGATGCGACCTGGCGGTGGCACTGCTGGGTCTGTATTGAGAGAGTCGCAATGCTCGTCGCACGCCTCGCGAGATTCTCATGCCCCACCCCGTCCCCCTCCCCACCTCTCCCCTTCACCATCCCCCTTCCCCGCCACCCCACCCCCGTCAAGCTTCCCCGTTGTGTCTTCCCCTCATCGCCTCGACTCAAGGTCTGCTGAAGCTCTGCTAGACGCTGACGCCTTCAGCGCCTTCCCGAGCTACCCGGCGTCGAATCCGCCAGTCGCCCCACTCTCGTCCCCCTTCTCCCACTCCCCACTTCCCCCCGCCCCTCCCCCCTTCCTACCCCCTCCTCTCCCCCCCTCCTCCTCGTGCTTCCACCCCTCCAGTGAGCCTAGCACTGGCTCTCTCCCACCACCCTTGCCCAAGTGGGTCGTTGAAACGCCGTCCGTTTGTGAGATTTCTCAAAAGCCGCCTGCATTATCTTCAACGTAGTTAATTTGAGAGGCCGATGCCTTCGCCCCCTCCCTCCCTCCCGCAAGCTATTCCCCTTCGCCTCAAAGTCAGCCTTGACGCTGGCATGGATTCTTTAACCTCCCCCCTCCCCCCCAAACCCAGCAGTAGCCCTCCCCCACCACCTGCACATTTGAATCCGCCCATCTCTCTCGACACTACTCGCCTTAGACTCCTCCCACCACCCCCTTCTCGCCTCGTCCTCTCCTGCTTCACCCATGCTGCCGCTGCAAGCCTACGGGCTGCGCTGCATCTCCATGGGCCTCCTCATGCTTGCACACGCCTTCCGTCCAAGCGCCCCCGTCCCTCTCCCATCCCTCCATTTCAGTGAACCTAGCAATAGCCCTTTTCCACCACCTACGTTCCAAAGTCGGCCTTCTAGACGCCCATGTCTCAGCCCCTCCCTGCCTGGACTCCTCGGCCTCGAGTCTGCCGGTTGCCCCCTCCTCGCCTCCGCCTCCTCCAACGCGCCCATGCTGCCGCTGCAGGCCTACGGGGTGTACAGCGTGTCCATGGGCTTCCTCATGCCTGCTGACATAGCGGCGGTGTGTCACGGGCCCATGGTGATGGCGGCAGTGGAGAAGCTTCTATGGGGGATGCAGTGGGGGCGGCTGGACGTGCTGGTGGTGGTCATGCCGCCCGGGACGGGGGACGTGCAGCTGAGCTTGTGTCAACCGGCCAGGCTGTCAGGTGCGTGTGGTAGGAAGGGATGGTGATTAGGTGTGTTTGGCGCAGGCACCTTCAAGTGTGGTGGTGGACTTGCCACCTGGCGTGGGGGATGTACAGCTGAGCTTGAGGAAACAGTGGGGGAGGTAGGATGTGCTAGTGGTGGACTGGCCGCCTGGGACTGGCGATGTGCAGCTGAGCCTGGGCCAACAGGATAGACTAGCAGGTATGGTAGCACTGACGCCACTAGAGGGGGCAAACAACTCCATGTGGGACAGGGAGGGGCAAGGGAGGCCGCAGCACAGCTGGGGATCCGGTTCATTGTGGACGCAAGTGCGCTTCCCCCACCCATCCCCCCCCCCCCCCCCCCCCTCTCTTTCTCCCTTCATTCGTTTGTGTGCCCATTGCTCAAGCATATTCGGAGACGGAGCGGCCGGAGAGGCCGCAGCTTAGCTGCGCACCGAGCTCATTGCCTCTTACCCATGCGTTCTGGCACTCGTCTCTGCAGGCCCCACCACTCGTTGTGCGTTTGCTCTCTCTCGTCTCATGCCTCCCCCCCCCCCCCTCATGTCATCTCCCTATCGCCACCATGCCATGTCATCTCCCTATCGCCACCATGCCATGTCATCTCCCTATAGCAGAGAAAGAGTTAGTTCGAGGAAAGTGCATGTGAGAGGTGCTAGACTGCGGAGTAAAAGATGTGGCGATGCATGAGCGCATGGCTTGAAGGGTGTGGGAGAAGCTGGGAAAGCTCGTGGGGCTAGGGCTGCACAGGAGGGACCAACAGAAGATAGTCAGATGGGGAAAATCAAAGGTGCCGATAAGAGCAGTGATGCTGTGCGGCAAGTGTAGTGCATCCTCGTATGGTTGAGCACCCTAAACTCTGATTCGGCTTTATTAGGTGCCTCTTAGAGCGACGTCGTGTAGTACTTCTTTCGAGCCGTCGACGAGGCACCCGGTGCGACGTGGTGTAGGGGCATCCGGTACGACGTGGTGTAGGGGCATCCGGTGCGACGTGGTGTAGGGGCACCCGGTGCGACCTGGTGTAGGGGCACCCTTTTCCACCCGCCACAACATGCGAGCCAGTCTTCCCAGAAATGTGTGCATTCGGATCAGACGCGACAGAGGCCCTGACAGCATTTCAATGCGACAAAAACCCTCACAGCTGCGGGTCATCTGCCGTCCTCCCCTCCTCCGCTTTCCACCTCTCCTCCCGCCGCCTGCCCTCCTCTTCTCACCGAATGCTCTCTCACGGATTAAAGAATTCCCTCCTCCACACACGCTCCATGCGTCGTCCCTCCTCTCACCCCATCCCTCACCCCATCCCTCAACCCATCCCTCACCCCATCCCTCACCCCATCCCTCACCCCATCCCTCAACCCATCCTTCACCCCATCCCTCACCCCATCCCTCACCCCATCCCTCACCCCATCCCTCACCCCATCCCTCACCCCATCCCTCACCCCCTCCCTCACCCCATCCCTCACCCCATCCCTCACCCCATCCCTCACCCCATCCCTCACCCCATCCCTCACCCCCTCCCTCACCCCATCCCTCACCCCCTCCCTCACCCCATCCCTCACCCCATCCCTCACCCCATCCCTCACCCCATCCCTCACCCCATCCCTCACCCCATCCCTCACCCCATCCCTCACCCCATCCCTCACCCCCTCCCTCACCCCATCCCTCACCCCATCCCTCACCCCTCCCTCACCCCATCCCTCACCCCATCCCTCACCCCATCCCTCACCCCATCCCTCACCCCATCCCTCACCCCATCCCTCACCCCATCCCTCACCCCATCCCTCACCCCATCCCTCACCCCATCCCTCACCCCATCCCTCACCCCATCCCTCACCCCATCCCTCACCCCATCCCTCACCCCATCCCTCACCCCATCCCTCATCCCATCCCTCACCCCATCCCTCACCCCATCCCTCACCCCATCCCTCACCCCCTCCCTCACCCCATCCCTCACCCCATCCCTCACCCCATCCCTCACCCCATCCCTCTCCCCATCCCTCACCCCCTCCCTCACCCCATCCCTCACCCCCTCCCTCACCCCATCCCTCACCCCATCCCTCACCCCATCCCTCACCCCATCCCTCACCCCATCCCTCACCCCATCCCTCACCCCATCCCTCACCCCATCCCTCACCCCCTCTCTCACCCCATCCCTCACCCCATCCCTCACCCCCTCCCTTACCCCATCCCTCACCCCCTCCCTCACCCCATCCCTCACCCCATCCCTCACCCCATCCCTCACCCCATCCCTCACCCCATCCCTCACCCCATCCCTCACCCCATCCCTCACCCCCTCCCGCACCCCATCCCTCACCCCATCCCTCACCCCCTCCCTCACCCCATCCCTCACCCCATCCCTCACCCCCTCCCTCACCCCATCCCTCACCCCATCCCTCACCCCATCCCTTACACCATCCCTCACCCCCTCCCTCATTCCATCCCTCACCCCATCCCTCACCCCATCCCTCACCCCCTCCCTCACCCCATCCCTCACCCCATCCCTCACCCCCTCTCTCACCCCATCCCTCACCCCATCCCTCACCCCCTCCCTTACCCCATCCCTCACCCCCTCCCTCACCCCATCCCTCACCCCATCCCTCACCCCATCCCTCACCCCATCCCTCACCCCATCCCTCACCCCATCCCTCTCCCCATCCCTCACCCCCTCCCTCACCCCATCCCTCACCCCATCCCTCACCCCATCCCTCACCCCATCCCTCACCCCATCCCTCACCCCATCCCTCACCCCATCCCTCACCCCATCCCTCACCCCATCCCTCACCCCCTCTCTCACCCCATCCCTCACCCCATCCCTCACCCCCTCCCTTACCCCATCCCTCACCCCCTCCCTCACCCCATCCCTCACCCCATCCCTCACCCCATCCCTCACCCCATCCCTCACCCCATCCCTCACCCCATCCCTCACCCCATCCCTCACCCCATCCCTCACCCCCTCCCGCACCCCATCCCTCACCCCATCCCTCACCCCCTCCCTCACCCCATCCCTCACCCCATCCCTCACCCCCTCCCTCACCCCATCCCTCACCCCATCCCTCACCCCATCCCTTACACCATCCCTCACCCCCTCCCTCATTCCATCCCTCACCCCATCCCTCACCCCATCCCTCACCCCCTCCCTCACCCCATCCCTCACCCCATCCCTCACCCCCTCCCTCACCCCATCCCTCACCCCATCCCTCACCCCATCCCTCACCCCCTCCCTCGCCCCCTCCCTCGCCCGCGCCTTCCCTCCTTGTCCCTTGGCCGTTTCCCGCTTATCTCCTCATTGGGAGCGGTGTCAAGCGCGTGCTACAGCTGCCAGCAGTGGAAGGATTCCCTCGTCCACACACGCGCTCTACTTCGGCCCGAAATCCTCACACCCCCCCCCCCCCGCCTTGCCTCCTCCCTCCCTCCTTGTCCCTTGGCCGTTGCAGCATCCCGCTTATCTCCTCATTGGGAGCGGTTTCATGCGCATGCCACAAATGCCAGAAGCAGGGTTCTCTCCTCCACGCACGCTCCCTGCTCTCCCCCACCTGCTCTCCTCGCCCTTGCCTCACCCCTTCCCATCCCCACCGCTCTGCCCTTTTCCGTGGCCGTGTGCCCATCCCACCCCACAGGTCTCCCCCTCTGGCGTGGTGTCATGCGCGTGCCACGGATGCCAGCGGTGGAAGGATTTCACAGCTGGCAGGCTGAGCGGGACTGCCACGTGTCAGGCGGCCATTGGAGTAGGCAAGCGGAGGGAGGAGAATGAGCAACAGGATGAACAGCAGGTGAAGCAGGAGGAGGAGAAGCAGGATGTGTTAGAGCGGGGATGAAGCGGTTCGCCACATGATGCGAGCCAGATTGGAGCATCAGCTGATCTTGAGAGCGCAGGATGGCACAGTGCTGCCGCCCAGGGTACACAGAAGAGATGGCGATCGCCTGAGCTTCCCTCTCCTCTTTCTTCTGCTCCTCCCTTTCCTGGTACTGGCAGTCCGTTCCCATGTTCCCATGTTCCCATGTTCCCATGTTCCCATGTTCCCCTGTTCCCATGTTCCCGTGTTCCCGTGTTATCGTGTTCCCGTGTTCCCGTGTTCCCATGTTCCCATGTTCCCATTGAGAGTGAAATAAAACGTTTGATGTTGTAGTAGACTAAGTATAAAACTATAAACACGAACACTTGGCAAATCTTCAAGTATTGGTCCAGAATCTTTGCTGGAATGGTAGACTAGTAAGACAGCGGAAGTCTTGTAGAATGTAAAGGTCAAGGTTGAATAACCTGAGTATGTGAACTTGTGGGTAATCAAAGTTAATAATAAAAAGACCTAACAAGTATTTATAGTTCTAGGAAAAGTACCAATTCGCTAATGTACCTGTTCGTCACTATCGCGCTATGCGCTCTAAACGATATTGAAGAGGTGCGACTATTCACGTGACTGAAACGACTGTCCTATGACGAGCGCTATTTGCTGACGTCATCCTACGGACTTCTCTTCTACAGTATGATTCGACACTAACTACACTTAATCGACTTACAGAAATGCTAAGTATCATACTGCGAACCCCAGTATATGTAATCCTATTTCTGTAAAGCGCGGACGTTCTTCGTTTGCACCTGCAAAATTTTCTTCTGGTCCTTCTTCCCCCCCAATTTCGTTAGGTGTAACACGGACTGCTTCGTCGGAGACGACGGGCATCGGCTGCTGTTGGCGATCGCATTTGTAACTGAGATGAACTTCGCGAACATCATCCTGGTCAGCATCTGCAAGAGGAATGAATTCACGTATGCCGGTCGAGGTGACAGGTTCGGGAATGTCTGTTGCGGCAGCTTCGGAAGCTTCAAAAACATCCTCGTCCTATACATCAGCTTCGGCTTCGTCAGTTGCAAATGCACGGGAGCCATCGAACAGCTTGGCAGGATTGGTAGCTGCTGCCTGGTGGGCACGAAAAACGGGCAAGGTGAGTCTTTCATAGAAGAGGCAATCACGTGATGGAACGATTTGGTTGGATCAGAGATCAAAAATCTTCCACGCGTAATACTGTTTTTCGATGCCGAGATGTACCCCCCATTTTGCTCGTTCGGAAAAATTTCCGAGTGCGGCGGTTGGAGGACGAAACTGTACAACACACCCGAAAACTTGTAAAAGTTTTGTGCTACCGACTGTTCGTGTCCACTGCAGGTGTGGAGAGGAGAACTCGGGCAGGGACGTTGAAGAAAGAAGATTGTGTAACAGCACAGCGTGGTCAATCGCATACGGCCAAAAATGCGGTGGAAGAGCTACCTGCGTCAGAAGAGCACGCATCTTCTCCTGCAGAGTTCTGTTCATCCATTCTGCTACCCCCATCTGTTGGTGTGCATGAGGCAGTGACTGCTTCCGTTTGATGCCGAGTGTCTAAAGGTACTCTGTGAAGTTGTTACTGGTGTACTCCCCTGCACCATCACTCTGAAATTCTTGCAGATTTACTCCAGACTCTCGTTCAGCGACAGCGAGCCACGCGACGAAGACGGAGTGAGCGAGATGGCGCGCAGGTAAGTTTGCTGTCCAGACATAGCGTGTAGATGCTTCGATGAAAGTTATCACATACTTCTCGTCTTTAGGTCCTGCTTCAATCAAGTTGAGTATGTCGTTGTAGACTTTCTGCATCAGTTTATAACGTGTTGAGCCAGGAAAGTGACTGGGAAAAGGATCATGCGTAAGGTTGGCAACTGGACAAGTGGTGCAAACCGTCGGACGAGACTGCGGCTTCATCTCCGTGCCATCAGGTAGAAGTAAACTATTTTTATCAAGAACTGCTGCTCGAATTGAATGATTAAGAATCCCTTGTGATGGATGTCCTAACCGCTTCTGTGGCTTATATATCTTCTGTGGCTTTGTGTCCTGATGATCGCATGTAGAAATCGGAGTTAGTATAAAAGGAAGAAAGAACGAACGGAGAAAGCGCTGGTGACGTGTCAATTTCTCCTTCGACGAAACGGTTAAGAGGTAACGTGACATTCGTTGGTGCTGCTCCAGTTGCGAGTATAACGTTTGACAGAGCTTTTGTTGATGTCGTGGCAGGTATTCCGGCGACAGCTACTGTTGGACTCGGCTGCTCAGCTACTGTTTCTTGTGCGGCTTCTTCAACAACGTCAGGTTCATTAGCTGCAAGACCACTTATCTCTCCCCAAAGTGGTGCTGGAGTTCCTTAGAAGGCTGCACGGGTATTATAAAACGTTCGCCACGCGGTGGCGCTTTCATCGGCGGTATTGAACTCCCATGTATCCAACGCGGTAAGGACGGCGGCTGCAGTTCGAGAAGTCGTTGGTACAGTAGTTGCTCGAAAATCAATATCCACGTTTTGATAATCTGTTTCTTCTGGGTGACGTGTGCAAGTACACGTTCAGAATCGCCAGAAGTTCCTTGTGCTGCGAACTGAAGAACGGATACGCCATGTTGAGTGGCGGCACGACCAAGATAAGTATTCGTCGAACTGTGCCAGAGCTCCTGATCCATCGTGTCACAATTGCCCTGTGTGCGAATTTTGTGTGCCAGGAGTTGAGCCGTGGAAAGAAGATTGAAGCCAAGACCGGCGACGATAAGGACATTAGTAACATGAAGTGAGTATCCCGTGTCGATAGATTCGAGCATGACACTTCCAACTGCTCGTGCCATGATGGTTTGTCCGTTTGCGATTGTTACAGGTATCGGACGACGAAGTGAACGCTGATTGGTAATGAAGCTTGTTTCTGCTGAGCACATGTGCCATCTGCAGCAACTGTCGAGATACCAGGTATTCGGACCTGAAATTATTCGAGCGAGGTTAGTGTAAACTTGAGGTAAAGGAATGCCTTCAGCACTTGTGGTTTCTTCAAATCGTGTCTCGAAATCTGTTTCTGAAACATCAACTATTGTAACACATCCGAAAACTCCTTTTCGTGATGTGGCAGATGCGAAGACCGGCGGACGATGCTGCGACACTGATGAATTCTGCGACGGTTTCGGCATCTGCTGCTGCTGAGACATTAACCGCTGCTGTGATTGTGTCTTCGGTAACTGCTGCGATCGTTGATATGGCTGCGAAGTGTTGCGACGAGTTTGATGACGGCTGCGACAGTTTTGGTAAGTATGTCCTGGTTTCTTACAGAAGTGGTAGAACGGATACTTTGGTGGATGTCGATGCTGTTGTTTTGGATTGGAGTAAAATTTTAAATGAAGCCCCTTTTTCTGATTTCGTTGTGATTGCAGGTCAAGATCTTGCTGCTCTGCTTGAAGATAAGAAGAAATTTCTGCTTCGGAGAGGTTGGGGTTCATGCGCAGAAAGGCGCGCGTCTGTCGCCATTCGGGTCCAAGACCAGCGAGAAGTACTGTGAGATACATCTCACGAGGGAAGTATCCCCCAGTTTTCTCCAGTTGATCTCGTAGTGTACGGACGCGGTTGACGTAATCCATGACGTTCTCATTTGTCATCATCTGCACAGTTGTCAACTGCGAAAGTATTTTACTCACTGTTATCGTATCCTTTGCCATGTATACCCCTTTCAGATGGTTCCATGCAGTTTCGGCTGGTGTGAAACTTGAGTGAAATGATCGAACGCCGAGCTGCTCCTTCGGCGACAAGTTCCGTACAAGAACTGTATATGCCCCGAGAGAGGCGTGCAAGAAACTCTGCTGTTCCAGTTTTGTTCCCGTAACAGGATACGTAAATTCGCCAGTGAAGAACGGCCAAAGCCTAGCGGACTGCGCCAGAAGCTCAAACTCGAAACTCCAGGAGTAAAAATCCACTCCGTTAAAAGGTATAGTAGTCTTGATTTGTGTGTTGTTCAGTAAATTCGGCGGTTGAAAAATAATGCCCTGTTGTTGAGGTTGTTGCTATTGTTGCTGTGTCTGAAACTGCTGTGGCTGTTGCTGCTGCTGTTGTTGTTGCTGTTGTTGAGCAGGGGGACGCCCGAAGATGTAAAAGGGATGCTGCTGCTGCTGTGACTGCGGCTGCTGTGCAAAGGGTGAGAAAGCAAACGAACCAGTACTTCGAGCTGTGGCTCCACGCATATAACTTGAGCCGTCAAGGCTCATGCCACAGAATGCAGATGAAATCGATTGCGTTGAAACTGGTGGCTGTACTGACGCTTGCTGATGTGCTGTTGTCTGTGATTGTTGCTGTTGCGTTGCAGGTGCAGTCGATGGAGCACCTGGAGTATTCACAGAAGGCGGATTCTGCTGTTGCATACCGATATTAGCGTAGGCTGGTGGAAAGTGCCCAGAGGCTGAGAGACCAGTGGAGGTCGTGGAGACATGTACTCCAGTAGTTCCGGAAGTTGATCCGGCAGATGGTGCTGGTGATGAACCAGTCATTGTTGACAGTAGTCTAAATTCCAGATAGCTCTCATACCATGAAATAAAACGTTTGATGTTGTAGTAGACTAAGTATAAAACTATAAACACGAACACTTGGCAAATCTTCAAGTGTTGGTCCAGAATCTTTGCTGGAATGGTAGACTAGTAAGACAGCGGAAGTCTTGTAAAATGTAAAGCTCAAGGTTGAATAACCTGAGTATGTGAACTTGTGGGTAATCAAAGTTAATAATGAAAAGACCTAACAAGTATTTGTAGTTCTAGGAAAAGTACCAATTCGCTAATGTACCTGTTCCTCACTATCGCGCTATGCGCTCTAAACGATATTGAAGAGGTGCGACTGTTCGCGTGACTGAAACGACTGTCCTATGACGAGCGCTATTTGCTGACGTCATCCTACGGACTTATCTTCTACAGTATGATTCGACACTAACTACAGTTAATCGACTTACAGAAATGCTAAGTATCAATTATATCACAACAGAGAGAAGTAACATTTGAGAGAAAAGTGTCAACTAGAAAGGGAGCCAAGAGGCTCTTTTGTACAACCAAGGAGCAAGAAAAGGTTGGAACGGAAGGCACTCTTATTGGCTACAAGGGTAGCCAATGGGAGAGGTAGCCTGGAGGGGAAGCAACCCCAAAGTGTGGTGGTTGCTGATTGGTGGAGCCTTGGGACCATTCGGTTGGAAAGTGCCAACCAAATGACCAAGGCCAAATTCAATCTTGACCAACCAAATTGTGGTTGGTGATCCCAACCAATAACCCCCCAATATAAATGTCTACACCTCCTATTCTAGTCATGCATGTTGTATAATAATATATTACAACACAACCCCCCAACATGCATAACACTAGAAGCCATGGATCAAGAGGCGGATATCAGAAAGAAAATGATTGAACTAGAATGTGTGTGTACAAGGATGTATAGACTAGGGTGCTGTACCCTCTAAGGCACAATCCAGTATAGTCTATAGTAACAACCTAAGTTACATTTGACACACCCCCTAGACTATATAGGGGCAGTGCCTAACAAGGGAAGAAGCAGCTCAGGGCAGCACCACTAGTCCAACCTCTGAGACAAGGGTCTAAAGACCAATCAAAAGGAGTACAGACAAGGCAAGAGCAAGCCCAGGGCGGCACAACTAGTCCAGCCACTGGGAGAGGCCACAAGGCCAGTCTGGGTAAAATATATATATAAAGGACAGTACCAAGTCAAGGCCCTACCAAGTGAAAGGCTACAGGAACGAGACCCAGCTGTACACAGTAACGCTGATGATCTTTAGGCGCAAGCGCCTTCGTAAAGATATCAGCTGTGTTGGCATCAGAGGCCAAGTGTACACCGCGCGCCTGGCGACGCTGCTGCAGCTCACGCAGGAGGAAGTACCGTAGCTGAATATGCTTCGCTCTACTCTCGAGTCGAGGCTCCTGACATAGGAGGATCATGGCCCTGTTGTCAGCGTACAGGACCGGGGCAGAGCTAGGCCGCTCACCTAAGTCAGTGAGCAAGAAGGTCAGCCAGCGGAGCTCCTGTGCCGCCATGGCACCGGCGTAGATCTCGGCCTCACAGCTGGACTGGGCAACTGACGAGGAGCGGGTAGCTCTCCACGAGACGGCACCTGAACCAAGGCTGAAGCAGTAGCCCTGTGAGGACCTGAGGGTCTCGGCGTCGTCTGCCCAAGAAGCGTCTGTGTGTCCATTAAGGACCACTGGCCTACGTCCTCCTAGCACTAACCCCATGCCCGATGTACTTGCAAGATAACGCAAAACCCTCTTAGCGGCAGACTAGTGCTGAGGTCGGTGTCTGCATGTAGCCACAAAGCAAGCCAGGATGCTGAGAGAGTATGCGAGATCTGGGCGCGTGCAAGTCATCAGGTACATGAGGCAACCCACCAGCTCTGCGTATGGACCACTGGGCTCTACTGACTCCTCAGGAACTGGATCGGAGAGCCTGTGGTCTAGAGGAAGAGGAGTAGGCTGTGCGGAAGAGAACTGAAGGCCGAACCTCTGAAGGACCTGGCGCACCAAGTGTGACTGAGTCAAAGTGATGGTGCGGGCTGCTCTGTCCCTAGAGATCTGCAAGCCAATGTAGTGGAGCAGTTCTCCAAGGTCAGTGCAGGTGTGTCTCTTCAGCAGCTCTGCCTTCACGGAGGCCAGTACGTCCCTATCTGCCGTGGCGAAGAACAGGTCGTCTATGTAAACAAGGATGTAGAACGGAGTCTGGCCAGCACGAACGAAGAGCGAGAGGTCTGCAGAGGATGGAAAGAACTGCAGGTCAGCAAGCGTAGCACGCAGAGTGTCGTGCCACTTATGGGGAGCCTGCCGCAGGCCGTAGACGGGGCGCCGGAGGAGCCACTGGGTCCCAGGAGGGAAGGTACCAGTGAAGCCCTGAGGGCAACGCAGGTAGACCTGCTTGTCATAGGATCGAATGTCTCGAGGAAAGGTTGCACTATCGATTGATACAAGGTGCTTTTATACTTCCAGAGAACATCAGGTAACCAGGTTTATCGTATCGCAAAGGAATAGACCCTTCTAGAAGATAGAATCACCCTGCGTATAGCCACACGAGGCTATTGGCTTTAAGGGATTACGGCAAGATTACTCCAGATAGCGCACCAGTACATCCCAAGCCTGATCGGTGATATAATTATAATAGCAGGATAAACCAAAGGTTAATGGAAAATGGGGAATAGGAAACCAAATGAGATGAGATAAAAAGAGGAATGAAAATAGGAAGGAAAGAGAAAAAGGAACAAGTGGTGTAACGGGGTCGTACTCTCACACTTCCCCCCCTCAAAGCTGGGTGGTAGAAGTAACACCCTGCTTGACAAGGTAGTCATGTAGATGACGACGGGCATGATCCATCTCGGATTCAGAGACCCAACTATCCTCAAAAGGATCATAACCCTTCCAACAAATGAGAAGCTCCACGGTGCCATTCCGTCGACGACGGTAAGCAAGCACGGACTCGACCTCGTACTCGGGTTCATCATGGACGAGGACGGGCGGCGGCGGCGGCGGTTGGCGTCCAGAGAAGTCCGTGTTGGGATCTCGGTACGGCTTCAAGAGTTGGACATGGAAGGCATTGTGAATCTTCCAGGTAGCTGGCAGGCGTAAGCGGAAGGTAACAGGAGTGACCTGTGCTTCAACGAGAAAAGGTCCGCAGAAGCGAGGTCGCAGTTTGGATGGGAGATGGCTGATGTCAAGATTGCGTGTGTCGAGTAGTACTCGGTCTCCTATGGTGATGGTGTGGTCTGTGCAGTGGCGATCGGCTTGG